TAAATGATATTGTAGAATCAATATTGGTCACGATTCGGAAGCTAAAAATTGCTCACCCAAATTGCTACCTGGAAAAAATCATTATTCTTATTGCGCTAAGAAAGGCGTAACAGAATTTTTAGAGTAAGTTTCATTATTTTTATTAAATTTACAGATAATTTGTGATAAATATTTTAATACTTTAATTTTTCTTTTAACAGTACACACTCGTGTTTTCTTGATCACTGTGACAATGGTGAGAAATGAAAAGTGGATATCTCCATAAATCGACTACGTACATCGATTGACAATACTGTAATTGTTTCTATATTACAATTAAACTGCAAGTATAGTAACTCAATGTCACGTATAAACGTTCAAAAAGTTCTCAATGTAACTATTTTTAATATTTGTACTGTAGTATTACTTAAATTGAATAAAAATTAATGATCTAGATATTATTTTGTTATTTATTTATTTGTACAAGATGTATATTTAATGTGTAATATGTATATTTAGTGACATACATAAAAGATTTCATAACAATACAATCACGGTTGAAACATACTTAATTTTTAGATACTTATCGATGAAAAATGTCTTAAAAACACAAGAAAACAATGATATAAGAAAGTCTAGAAAGGAAGATTACATTTGGAATATATATTTGAGGATAGGCTCCTAATTTTTAGATTCAAAAAATATAAATATTATTGAGTAATTTACGCTACTATGATTCTGCTTCTGTGTATTACTGACAAGAAAACTGAAATGTCAACAGACCGTTTTACAATAGGCATATCTTTTTTCTTTAATATACTTACTGATGTTTCTGCTTTGTTGAAAAAGGAAATGTCAGCAGTTATTTTGAAACCGTAATCAAAGTTTAATCATTATATGCTAAGAGAACAATGAAATTTACATTTATAAATAATTTATAATTCAAAAATAATTTAATTGTTTATGTTAATTTTTGTCTGTTATGTGATAATTCGGAGATAAGGGAGATATTTTAACAAATTCGTTAAAATAATATTTTTTTGAAATTAATTTAGATAATTTTTTAAAATCAAGAGTAATTTATCTTTGTGAAAGGAAGCACTTTTTTCGTAGAAAAAATAGTTTAGTTCGTTCTAAATTGATAATTTGAGTGCGGAATCTCACTTCACAGACCCACCAGTGGCCAAGCGGTTCCGTTTCCCGAATACTGGTAGTTTGGATGTGGGTTCGTGCGTCGCCAGGACGGACTGGCCGCGTGGAGTTTTCCGGGTTTTCTGCACGTCTGTAACGCCTGAATAGTGGCCATTTACCCTTAAAAATACCCTTGGGAAGCATCTCCTCTGTAGATAGATCGCCCAAGTGTTGCGTTGGGATAACTTAACCAAATAAACATCTGACTTTACTATCTCCAAAACCGTCCGACTTACTTCTGATGTCAAAAGTCTGGTGTGAGTTTTGATAGGGAACATTTTTATACTTTTAAAACAGATTTTTAGTGAATATTTTATATTTTCGTAAAGCTGTAAAAAGATAGAAAGTTTATGTTTCATGTCATCTACACAATTCTTATTAATCATTAGAGAAGTGACTTTGTTCTTTCAGAAGTGAATGTAACACTTCTTAATTCCCTTAGGAACGGTGTGTGAAACGAATCATTAACATTCTCCATTGGTTCAATGTTTCTGTGTATAAGGTAAAGACCACACTTCTTTACTGCGCTTTTAGTGATGTACAGCCAGTGGCGGCCTTAGGGGGTGGCGAGCAGGGCAATCGCCCGGGGCCTCGCTTTTGGAGGGGCCTCGCGCAACAACCAAGTAGAAAAAAGTTGATATTTAAAACTTTTTATTTTATCCTTGGCTATTAGTTATAACAATAAAATAAATTTAATTTATAGTACAGTATATATTAATATTAATAAGTGCCTACTATTTCAATTCGCATACTTTGCACAAAGGACAAGGGTATCGCAAAGATCTGCCGCCCAGAGCCTCGCAATGAATAAGGCCGCCGCTGTGTACAGCCATGCTTCTAGCCACAGGCTACGATTAGCCATTTGATTAAGTTTTCGCTTTATTTCTGGTGCATCGATCACTCCTATAACGTAATACCACTTGGACTAAATTTAAAATAAAACATTCCTCTTATCGTCAGTTAAAATGCGATACAAAATTAAATATATTAAAGATATTTTGCTATGTTTTGTATATGATCTTAAAAGATTGTTGGGAGTTGTCTTTGACAATAAAATCACTATACGAAGTTAGATATAGATAACATATGTAGCTTTTTTATTTTCAAAATTTTGTAGGAATGTATAAAGTGTTCAAGTAGAGTGACATCCAATACCACAATGTTGAATAGGATGCAGTTTAGAAAAAAAGAAAAAAAAAATGGCAGATACATAATCAAGACTAAAATTAGTAAGCTTTGCTTATCGATTGCCTCTTCGCCTTCTAGAAACGAAAAACTGAAATGATTGTTAAAATTACTAAATGAAAGAGTAAAATATTTAGCTTTACATAAAACATGAGAAAATCCTGCTTTAAGATTGCTGTAGGGAGAAGTGGATCTACATAGGGACTATTAGGGCTTTGGCCCTGGACCCACGAGTGTCAAGGGCACACAGAAATTGAATTAATATGATAAATTTTTAATACTTTTCCATTAACAATAAGCAGTTATCGTATGGTAAAAATATTTACTATAAATTATCATTATTAATATTATTATTTGTATTAACAAAAAATGGGGCTCCATTGGAGTTCAATAAGCCTTAGCCCCGAAAAACCTAGATCCGCTCCTGACTGTAGGTATCATATTATGTCAGCAGGTATATATAGTCGACCCCCTATAAAACGGGTTTATATAATGCTGATTCGTATATCTCGGCGAAAAAATTGCGACCGTATTCGTATAAAGAAACTAAAAGAGACTCGTAAAATGCCGTAAAATGTCGTCGCCGACTCTTGTCGCGACAGGATTGGTCGAATCTGGACCAATAGTGGACGAGCAGCCGAACTACTTATACGCTAAGGAGAGTTTAGGCGAGTAAGTTGAGTTTATTATCGTCTGTACAGTATATAAATTAGGTACCGTAAGTCTAATACTGTACTGTAATTTTATACATTTCTTGTGAAAAAAAAACATTTTTTATTCAACGGCCATAATAATTATTTCTATTAATGATGTCTCCAAAGTTCAACGAATTTTTAGCAAAAAAATAACTTATCAGAAAACGCGCCAGGCGTTTGGTGCGCCGCTCCGCGACGAAAACAAGGTTAAGCAATGGCGTCGTCGAACAGTGCACGCTCGGTAAGTAATCCTACAATTGTTTTGTTTATAGCATAGTTTATATGGATTATTCTTAAAAAATTATGTGTTTTGAAGATAGCCATAGTCAGTAAACTGCACACGTGCCGGGCTGTGATTGGCTCATGTATTTAAGGATTTCTACAACGTGAAATTCTTCTAAAGTGAAACGTATCTACCGCGTTATAGGGGGGTCGACTGTATTGTATTTTGTTACGTATTTTTCGAGAAAATTTTGGGATAAATCCCGAAAAAAGTACGAGTGTCAGAAGCGAAATTGGATATAACATTTGTAAAATAACTTTCAATGGAAAGATGGCATTCTTTGTAAAATTGTTTTTGAAGTATATGATGTAGATAAAGGCCACGAAGGTTGCCAATCCGTTTCTACTTGATCGTTCCTCGGGTTTCCAATTGGAGACTCCAGGAACGACCAATCAATGGAACAGATAAACGTTGAACCATGTATGTTATTAAACCGTGTTTATAGAGGTACAGTAGAGCGTCGTTTATCCGAATCAATTGGGGACTGGGGTTGTTCGGATAACTTATTTTTCGGATAACCGATTATGTACGAAAAAATATGTTAACCCTTTGCCACCGCCATACTGTTTACGTTAAATACAACATAAGAAACATTAAGCTATTTGGATAAGCTTATCGACTTTTTTGACATTACTGTCAAAATTAGTATTGTTCGTGAATCGAAGTTTTTTATTGATTGTTAAACAATATTAATTTTGACAAAGTTTTGCGATTACTTTTACTTCTCCTATCCATGATGAACTACTTATTTTCGTGATAGAAATTGATTTTAGCTTATTCATGCAGTAATATTACTATAATAAGTTCATTTATGCTATATTAAATTTATTTAGCTGTAATAATTCAACGTGTTATAAATATTCAAGTTATGATCTTCAGTTCTGACATTTTATATATTTTTTATTTTTTATTTAAATGTAAAATATTAGCAAATGTTACATGTATTACTACTGTTAAATCATATGTTATTACAAAAATTTATATACCTGTTCGAAATAAAGTGAATAAAGTATACTAATTAATTACATTAGTTGATAGCGTAATAGAGTTTTGATTTCAAACAAATGTTTGATATAATGTGCGATAATTTCACAACGAATAAACGTACATCAATAAAGCATACATTGGGGTGTATAGAACAATATTCTATGTCTTTCTGGCTCATTGCCAGCAAGAAACTAGGTAACTAACCAATGTTAATTTTCACAAAATGTTATGAATTATCAACTTTAAATGTAAGTTACGATATAGAACAATATTCTATGTCTTTCTGGCTCATTGCCAGCAAAAAACTAGATAACTAAACAATGTTAATTTTCACAAAAAGTTATGAATTATCAACTTTAAATGTAAGTTACGATATATATTATTTTTTTTCTTATAAATTTTTCTAATAAAATGTATTGAAAAATATCGTATTTAATACTAAAGATATTATTAAATGTACATGATTTTTTTTCATATGAATGTAGTGATAATTTGATTTTGGCGAATTTTAAAATTAACTCCTTAACGACCACCTGTTTTTAATTACAATGTAATTAAGCATTAAAAATACTTAAAACTGGAAAAAAACAAAAGTGTGTTAATTTTTAAGAAAAGGCTTTGAAGTTTAAGTTTCTTTGTTTTGCCTTTCTGCGAAATTTAACACCGATGAGTCATTGTTTACACAGCTAAATGACCTTGAGAACAGCTGGAGTCGGATTTCCCGGGGCATTCTCATAGACGTCTCGGGAGGACAAGGGTTTAAAGTAGGGTGAATACTAACTAAGTAGGCCTGTATTTTTAAATATTTTTAAAAAATTAAAAATTTTATTGCTATTTCCGACCCCCCTAATTAATTAAATTTATATAAAATAAAATATATTAATTTAAAAAATTTAAAAACTATTGGAGGGCGAGCTTTAAATAACTTTACCGAAGTTAAATCCGTGCACTACAACTTTAGAACGATTAATTAAATTTGATAAAAATCTCCCATTAAAAAACAATTAAGCCTTAATCGAGCCTTATCAAAGGCTAATTAAAATCGCGATAAAATTTTTTCGAACGGGTAAAAATTTTTGCAAAAATTTGTGGACCTAAAAAACATACC